CCACAGGGCACCCCTCGGCCCAACGTGTTGCCCTGGTTGCGGATGAGGCCCTGCAACCCTGTGGGCGGCAGCCTAGCTGCCCTTCCACAGGCAGGGGAGCAGGCGGGCAGACCAGATGGAAGCAATTACCATTGGGAAAGTGGAGAGAGGGGGCTGGGCGGGGCTGGCTGCTGGGAGGGGGGATGCGGGAGGGAAGCCCTCCCTGCCCAGCTGAGAGGACTGGCCTCAGGGGATGGGGTTCCCGGATGCCCAGGCAGAGGTGTGGGGTGCAGGGCAGCACAGAGAGCTCCGGGCTGGGAATCAGGAGGGCACGTGGGCCCCCTTGGTCACTAAGACCCGGTGACCTCGAGCAAACCCCTTCACACCTCCGAGCCCCGGCCTCCTCGTGGGTCACAGGACAGAGCAAGACAAGCTCAGGGAGCGACGGAGACCCGGGCTGCGCGTGCGGGGTTTGGAAGCGGCCTGGACACGAGGCCCTGCTCACTGCTGACGAGCTGTGAGACCTGGGCCACGCAGCCTCATCTCCCCGAGCCTCATCTGTTCATTTATAAACGGGCTTCATGCAGGGGCCGTGTGAGGCCGACACGGAGTGACGCAAGGAAGTGTCGGTGTGACTTCGTTGATTGGGCCAGGCTTTTCATTAGCGCTGGGCTGATACATGATTAAGGCCTTTGGCATTTGCTAAGCCCCTTTTTACGACAAGGACAGGTGTCGAGGGAGGATGCAAGGGCAGGGGACACAGGACAGACCGGGGGCACAGGCGCGGCAGAAACGACAGCGTACTGGCCCAGCGCCATGCACACTGGTTCCTGTCCTCTTTCTGGCCACCGCCGTCCTCCCCGCCCTCCCCACCCCGAGGAAGCAGAGCCCGGAGCCCTGGCCCACCTGGGCTTTGGCGTGAAGCGGCGGCCACTGGAGGCCCCGGCGGCCACTGAGGGCCTCGCCAGCCTGAGCCTGCCTCAGCCGAGGCACCAGCACCCTCCACCCCGCTGGGCTGGGGGCGCAGCCAGAGCTTCAGAGGTGAAGCAAGCACATCGCCCCTCCGCAGGGCAGCGCGGAGGGTGGCGTGGGCAGAGACAGGGCTGCAGGTCTCCTGGTCCCAGGGGAGGGGCCAGGACGAGAAGGCAACCTGCAGCTCTGGACACCTGTGTCCCTCCTCAACCCGAAAGGCAACCAACCCAGCCAACCCCCTTGGCAGAGTTGAGCCCCTGCTGGGCTCAGGGCACCGAGCTGAAGGCCCCACACCTGCTTGTGGCCCAGGAATCACACAGCCGCTTTCACTTGCTGCTGCACTTGACCACTTCCTCCATCTGTAGCATCAAGAGTCTCTCTCTCTCTCTCTCTCTCTCTCTCTCTCCCTCTCTCTCTCTCTCTCTCACACACACACACACACACACACGCTGGGAAGGGGGTAGAGGTAGGGCATGCTTCCGAGGCCAGGGGTGGCTTCCTTCGGGGGCACTGGGAACACTCCTGCAGGAGAGGGGGACTAATGGCTACAGTCACCAACACCTGCCTCCATTGGCCAGTTCCTCGGGCCACGGGGAAGCTTCAGGTCAAGGCCCCGAGTCCTGAGAAGGAAGCAGGACCCTGTGGCCAGCAAGCACTGCAGAGAAATCTCACCAGAAGGTCACTGCGGGGTCAGGAGAGAGAGAACAGGCCCTGTAAGGTTTCTGGGGGTCCCACCCCTCACCACAGCCCTGCTCTCCAGTGCCCTCCCTCCGTCTCAGGGTCTGGGAGTTTGGCCAGGCTCCGGCGCCAGCCTCGGTCACAATCTGTGACCAGGCCCTGGGACACTCCGGTACTGATGACCATCAGGGTCCCTTTCAGGACACGTGTGGGCTGGAACCCAGCTTCGGTATCATTCTGAGGTCAAGGGACCCCTCCCCTGGACGGAGGGTGCGAACCGCGGAGCCACTCTGAGAGGTGACCCCGAGACCGAGCC